GGATGAGAAAACTATATCACAGATAGACAGACAAGGGGTGAGAAAACTATATCACAGATAGGCAGACAAGGGTGAGAATTAAACATCACAGAGGGTTGTGGGTGAGAATAAATCACAGAAACGGAAATTACTCCCGTAAAGCATTAATATCCAAATAACAACTAAGAGATAGCCTTGAAGATCCACAAACAAAAAGTGTTTTAAAAAAAAGAAAAAAATGTTAAATACAGAGTATAAAAAGAATAGATGCGAGAAATGGACCAATCAATCCACAGATGAGATGACAGATTAAGATTACGCTCTCGTTCCTGCAAAAAAAGCAAACGGGATGCAGTGGCCGCAATTATTGTGAGATACCTGCATAAATCCCCGCCATCTGATTGTTGGATCGTTGAGCACGTGTCATTGAATTATTTGTTCTATTCAACGGTACCCGTTAAACCAGTCTACGTTGCACGGTGCTACGTAGTGAGTGACGCTTCTGACACGAATCTGTATAGCCAAATGACGGACGTTTAAAACACGAGCAGGACCTATTTTTTTCTCTTAATTGAAGACGATTTATGCAGCTAGTGTTGAAAACAAATAATAAATGTTTCACATTCGTGCAATGGTAAGAATAATTTCATTCGATGACGTATGAAATCTTCCATATTACTCGGCTTTTCATCAGTGGAATTGAACAGTATTTTCATGTGTTATCTCATGAAATTATTCTTACCATCGCATTCATATAAAACATGATTTGTATACCGAATTACAGGGTGTCCACATAAAAAGTATACCGAGAGAAAAATTACTGTAATAGCAAAACTACTTTATATATGGGAAAGAGAAATGTGTCTCTAGAAGGGGCAGAATGTCTTCTTTGCAATGGTATACAGCTTGTGATGTTATTGACACAGATGAGTGAACAAACTAGACCGGTGTTAAGGATAGTGAAATCGGCACTGTGACAAGTTTGCATGTGTGATTAACAAGGCTAGACCATGCGAGTGTGCAGAATACCAAATGCCTTTGCTTTAAGAACTGTGAGAAGTTGTATATTGCTATACCATTGCAAAGAGGGCGTTCTGCCCTTTTTAGAGATATATTCCTCTTTCCCAAGTAGTTTTGCTATTACAGTAATTTTTATTACAGTAATTTTTATCTCGGCATACTTTTTATGTGGACACCATGTATAAGTACTCCATGGCCTAATGAACTGACAGGGAATAGAATATTAAAGATGTCGGCACCAGCATACAAGTGATGAAAGGGTTAACCGGGAGTTCATGTCTCCCATTCAAACTGACATCACTTAACACGATGGTGAGAAATGACCCGAACAACCAAATTTCAATTGCTTGCAAACAAATTGCTCATATGAAAACAGTGTGCTTAGTGTGCCTGAATGAAGCACACTGAGCCACTCGGGGTAAGGTTGCCCCTGTCTGTATTGCGTTGATGCAAAATGAGTCGGATGGCACACTTTTAGCTTTTCAAGTTGATCAACGCGCTTGCTCTATGCGGAGACCAGACAGGAGAGCAGTAATCGAGAAAAGACAAAATGATTGCTTT